ATGAGATTCGAACCCGTGTCGCCTAGTGCTGTAGCTATTAGAATGTATAATTTAATTTCATGGACGACATCATATTAGCTTTATAAGCATGTAGTTTGTTTCCTTTTGCACATTTCGAAATTACTCTGACCTTACAGTCTTTTTTCCCCCACCATATTGAATACTGTTCATGTTAGTTAACAGTGTGTGAATAATATAATCACTTCTCTGATCAATAATTCAGTACTTATATGCCATAAAAAAGATCAAAATTCAATTCAATTTGATTCACTAGTTTGCTGTATTACTCAACTGTTCACATTTGAATCAGAAAAAAATTTTTAAATGGGGATTTTTAGTGTGGCATGTATCCAACCTATTTTTATCTTTGCATCAGTGTAAATAAAGTAGCTAATAGATCAGAGATTGCCTTAGGAATTCTCCGCAGATTATTTTTAACGACTGCTATGAGTGTTACTTCTTACTCAGCCGCCTGATCTAATAGTCTAGAATTATGCATCTATGCATTGATTATTAGATGGTTGAAGGCAATCGTCAAGAGATCATTCACCTAAGTCTCGTGATTATTTGCACTCTTTGTCAACGTTGAAGCTGCAATAATGGAAGGAACCGATGTCCCCTCAATGATTCGAAATCTCATTACCTGGTGCTTCAATAATGTAGTGTTACAGAATAACTCAGTGGTAAATTGTCTGGCTGGAGCACTTGGTGACGCCAGTTCGAATTCCTTGCTGATAACCGGTAATAAGCACGAAGTCTAGGTCTACGGCTCCCTACCGATTGCTTATTACGATTACTAATAACAACTTAAAGATTCTTCTAGCTTTGGTGATCACATTGCATAGAATCTAGTCAGAGTCAACACTAGGGATTAGATACATAACACTAGTTGCAGCCCACTGACCAATTACTGTCTACAGGTATATATTTATATATATATATATGAGTGTCATTTATGAATTGATTTTTCAGGTTTTATTCTGATCTTTTATTATTGAGGTTTTAGTAAGACTAAGAATCAGTATGCACAATGGTGATGAGTACAAGGGCTGTTCACAATCAACATCTTTCATGGATATATACAGGGAACTATTCTTCCAAATTTGTCGACTTAAATGAAATGGACACCAATTCTACCGAAACAATTCCAGGGCCTAAAGAAAAGCATTGTAACAATAATTGGATGTTGGAGGAACATAGTTTACAGCCATTTAGATGTATTCATGTATAAGAATTAGTTCGAACTGTTTGTATTAGCATAGACGAAAAATCAGATATTTTTGTAACATTGGAAAGACTGTTATACTGTATGATTATTTTTTCGAAAAAATTTCTTTACCTATTCAAATCGGTTTTGAACCTATCGGTCATGGGTTACTCCTTTGTCTCACACCTCTGCTCACTGTTTCTATTATGCTTTTCTTGTACTTTCTTCTCTTGCTTCGCGTGCTACACGGAGTGTGGCGACTTGAACTTCCGCACATTTGTGCAAAGTCCTATGTCGAAAACAGATAGACAGACAGACATGGGTTCGAGTCCTGCTCCGCTTTGCCGACTGGTTAGTGTCACCAACCAACCCTCCTTCTACCCACACTATAAGTGTAGCTCTTAGCCAGGTCGTTCGCTTCTTCTCAATTGAATTGTTTGTGCATCGACAGTTCAACGATAGAATACTCGCCAACCACACGGGTGGTCTGGGTACGACTCCTAGATGACGGACATACTCCTAGATTTCCTCTAGTTCACTTGACAATAGCATGTCTAGAAGAGAGGGGAGATTATATGTGACTCTAGCAAATCCACTCTCTTTAGGTAACAGCAATAATACTGAAATTCTCAAGCTTAAAACCTTTTCTTCCCCATCGAATGTAAGGCATAAAAATGTCACATGTTTGGTGGTATATATCAATAATAATGACACACTGGAACGGTGGAAGCGGTTGGTATTTCCTCTTTCATGTTTTTGTCAAGTGTCATTCTTCTTGTTGATATTATGATTTTTGTTTAATTTTCAATTTTTTTTTTGAGAAAATAAACTCAACAAATAAATTATATTCGTTCATTTTTTTCAGGTGTTAGGTTTTATAATATTAATAGAAAATACCAGTATTAAGCCTTGAATTGATGATAATATGTTCTGACTGTCATATTATTGTCTGTATTGTTGTTCACTCCAACCAACTCTTTGATCTTTTCCGCATTAATGCAAAAAAAATGTTGGCTTTACAAAAATGAAAAATACGAGTATCACATTAATTATCTATAATTCATTCAATTGTTTTTACTTTGCACTGTTTGTTGGCTGTGTCGATTTATCCGTATAAGATACTCATCGCCAGTAGTGCATGTTGGCCTGTCTGTCTGTCTCGTTGTTTATGATTTTTTTCTTATGTCGTAATTGCTTTTCCGTATTTAACATAATTCATTACTACTATTAGGATTATAAACATTACTGTACAGTTGTCTAATTCGCCACCACAACTCATCTCTAGTACATCAAACAGAAACAGTGGAAAAGAGAGGATTGAAAAAAATAATAAACACCCCATTTTGGTATATGAGGAGGATTGTTTAATGTCGTCAGGATTAATCATAACTCGAAGTTCCTTGTTTGGCAGTCGTTTAGTGGATAAATCTTTGGCGTTTAAAGTGACAGGTTTCTGGGTTCTAGTCTCATCAGGAGCACCATCAATCATTCGGGGTGGGGTGAGTGGGTGGATTGGTGAGGATGCAGGTACCTCCAGATGACGTATCTCAACTGGGACGAAACTCTAGTCCTTGATTCTATTTTATCACTGGATACCGACAAACGACTCTGTGTCTTAGAATGTTGTATTGTATAACTAGATAAAATATCACACACTGAAACCCAATGATTTTACTTGTAAGTTGTATGATTGGCGATTAAAACTCTTGTCTTTTAGGAATTATGAAATTTTTGCTGAATTATGCTCAATAGAATACAAAAAGCTTCATTTCTACTGCTAAAATCATAACCACCTACCTACCTACCTATCAGAAAATGGACAATCATACTTCATGATTGTTAGGCTGAAAGCGGGAATGGAATTCCTCACAACTTGTATGTTTGTGATATTGCTAACTTGTGCTGAAATTGTAGTGTAATATAATGTGTACTTGACAAAAAAAGGTAAATAAATCGATACAGTCTTGCTCGAGTTTGTCGCCTGTTTTGCGCGCGCCGAGTTACTTCAGTTAAGTTAGGAATATGACAGAGGAGAAAGATTAGTTGTAGTCGAGCTAAGGCATGACCGCGGTTACTGGAACTTGAGATTATATGTGTCCAAACTAAGTCCACTTTTAACAGTTGGAAAAAATTTCACCATTGGGTATACAATATTCACCATTGTAAAAGTTTTTGTATTTTCCAATGAATGAAAAACAAAACGACATACCTGTTTTTTTTACTGACGTTTCGCTATTTAATGCTACTGCTAATAGCTTCATCAAAGTATTATTAAACCAGAATTTACAAAATCTCAGCTTCTACACAACAACTTAATCATCGTTCATCAGTAGGGGGTAATTTTTACGTTGTCAAGGTGACCAATAGGTTGGTGATAACAAAACCATATGTAGTTTGTTGGATTCGATAAGCGTATAAAATTATAAAAACAGCATGTGTTTTTGTAATGAAATTGCTTATCACATTCGTGTTGGTTTTTGTCATTTCATGGGTGAGGGGGGGATTGTAACCATGTTAAATTCTGTTTTAGTCCATCGTTTCTGTTCAGACAATGCGGATTCCATTTGATATGAAGTGCTTCTGGTATCAGACATTATTTGTGATTTCTGAAATTTTTCAGGATTGTTTCAGTATTGTCACAATCAATTTTGTGGCCTGATTCTATGATGTGTAGACCTATGTCTGATTTTTGAAGCTTTTCTAGTTCAACTGTATTTCTCAATGGTTGAACAGACGCTCTACAGTGTTCATTTCTTCTGCTTTTGACTTCTCTCTTGGATTGTTTGATGTATATCGCAAGAATTTTATTTTGTAGACACGGTTAGATTGAGAATCCTTAGGGATTTGGTCTTTTACATGGACAGGGTTGGTTTCCTGTGTGGTTAAGTGAGTCCCATAAAGAAGTAAAGAAGAAGAATCGAATCAGTGTTTGAAAACTTGATGTGTAGCCAAATGTTGTTGATCAAAGTTCTCAACGTGTTTCATAAGTCTTCACTTATAGAGTTATGTTGCTTTTTATCACACCTTTGTTTATTCATTGTGTTATATCACAATGTACTCTGTACTCCTTAACTTTGTATACTGCTCTTTTATAAGCTCAGATAACTGAATTATATTCCATTCTTCTTTTATGTTTGTATCTGTATGATGGTAGTACACACTCCCGTGTTAAGTAATGTAATATAGTGAGTAATATTGAGGTTAGACATAGAGCGTTAGGTAAGAATGGGTAAATCAGTCGAGGATATTGTGAAACTACCATAGACTGAGAGGTGGCTAGAACACGTGTTGCGCATGCCGAGTCATGACCTTCCTCGACAAATAATGTTAACCAGATTGGAAAAGAGTTAGCGGTGATTACACGGAAACCTGTCATCAGTTCATTAAGTCTTTGGATGTTGGTGTGAGGCAAATAAAGAGGTGTAGACTACGTGGCTGGAGTCCTTAAGATGCTAAGAACCAATGTCTGAGACTATTATTGGTGATATGTTTCAGAATCGTTCTCAGTGTAACGCCTCTGTGTTCACTAAACCATCATGTTTTTCCATGTTTCCTTCACATTTCTACTTGTTCTACATCTCTTGAATCTCCTTTTCCTCTCTCTTTTTTCTACTTTTGTGTGAAGTTCTTTGTTAATGAAACCGAGTCCAGTCAGGTTTTTGTTCTGAAATAAATATATATTTTGAGTCAAGCATACTCTGAGATGGATTCACAACATTTTCTTAATTTTGTTTATTTTACTATAATGTAACATTTGACAGAATTTTTGTAATTTTGTTGTTTTGATTTTCAGGTCGTCACATTTTGGCCACATCAATTCTTCAGGTTTTCAAAACAAACTGTATCCATATAATAATAGTAATAATAATAATAACAGTGTGGCTGGCGCTCCTCCTCGTGTTCCTCATGTACCCGGTACTAATTGTTCAACTTCATGTACTTCAGTCAACTGTTCACCTTCAATCAAACTGCCTCCATCAAGTAATTATTAGTTCTCTTTTATGTACATGTATTATATATCATGTAACTTGTTGCTAATTGAATAAATCTGTGTTTTTAAGGAGTACTCTGAATCTTGGAGAAGAGTTTCCTCCATATAAATTATGCGTATTTCGTACATTAACATAAATGGATTCTTTTACTGACATCTGCCAAACTTAAAAATTCTAAGCAGTTTAGCGCTATATAAGATCAAAAATGACACTCGAACACAATCAGAATGATGACTAACAGACATTAGTTAAAGAACCACTGGAAACTAGCAAGTACTGAACAGTTGTTTCGTTCTTGTCTTGGACTCTTCAACCATATGCATCCATGTGAGCCGACAGGACATTCAGGTTACGAAGCGAACACCACTTGTCATTCAGCCACACTGGCATAGAATCCTACAGCCCACGATTTCTAACATACCAATTCGGGATATACGGTGTCACAATTAGTCAGTATCATTTACGAGTATCTATCCTGATATTCCTCGAGAATCGAGAAGGCGAGAAACACATTCATCAACCTGAAACCAATCCGGAAATCTTCGTCACACAGCCAGCATCAACAACAAAATTCAGTCGGATTTTCAATACAGACGTCAAGTCAGTCAGTTCTTCTATACAGATCAGAAACTTGACGGGCGGGTCACAAAGAATATTTCAAACAGGCTAACTCAGACCTTTATCAACAACTGTCTTCGCTCTATGCTGAAGATCAGATGGCTGGACCGAAAAGAATCACTAACAAGAAACTATGGGAAGAAACAAAACAAGAACCAATCGCCAGCCAACAAATATGCAGGAGAAAGTGGAAATGGATTAAACACTCGCTGAGGAGGCCGCTGGGTGACATCGCGCGCGCGTCAGGCCATTGCTCGAGTGGAACTAGGCCAAAAGGGAAGCGGCGAGTGGGACGTCAGCGCAAGGTGACATGGAGGAGATCGTGTGAAGAGAAGTTGGTTGAAACAGTATGGACTAACATGGATGCAGGTGAAAAGTATAGCAGAAGGAAGACAGAAGCAGGCAAGTGGAGACGTGCAGTTGAAGCCCTATGTTCCACTAGGAACCCAAGGGAATCATAATAATAATAATCCTAACATTCCACTTGATGGATCCCATTAGAATTCCATCAGCTTCATCCCGTAGACACTCACTGAAAATCAGTAGACTGCTTAATTTCTAAGTGTTGCTTCTGAGGGATTTGATTGATGTCAAGTTAGACTGTGAACTAACATCTGTTAGAGAAGTGTTGAAATAAACAGAGTATTGGAGTCCTTTTCTTCTCCCCTTCCAAACAAGAATTTGACAGATCGTATGCTATATATCCGGATGTTGAACGCTCTCTCTCTCACACACACACATACGCGTAGAGAGAGAGAGGGAGAAAGCAGGATAGGTAGAAGGGAATATGACAAATTGCCTACATTTTGTTGTCATCATTCTTTTCAGTTCTCCATACAAGTATGTGTATCTATGTATATCTGCCTGCATATGTATGTATGTGTCTGTTTATGCATAGTTTGTGTTAGCGCTATTAAAAGTTAATTAGATCATAGTTCCGATCTATTATGTGTGTACAAACTCGGGTTGACAGAAAACTTTTGCAGTCATTATTAGTATTAGTAGTATTATTATTGTTATTGTAATCATTATCGTCATCATCATCACAGTTATAAATTGTCATAAATTGCCAACTACTAACAAACACATCATCTTGACAAATAAACGTTTTTGATTTTGATAAAACGGAAGTCTTGTCTATTCTATGTATGTATGTGCATGCATATACATATGATGCATACGAATACCATAACATACCATACCACTGAAGGTTATGACGCTTTACAATCTATGCTTGTATCATCAGCAATATAAGTAGTATGTTTTAAATCTAGGCTAATTTTTTTTCTATTCGTTTTATTTATACTCCTGCATTCATTCTGAAACAGTATACACACATAAATAAATATTCAGTGCGATAAAGTATGTACATATGTATATAAATTAAGCTGGTCAGTGCGTTCCAGATGCAGATAATTCTAATATAACATCCATTCCACAAGAGGTTGATTAAGTAGCCCAGTGGATAACATTTTAGCATTTGAGCAGGTGGGTGTTTGACTAAAGTGACAGTGTGTGAATGCCATAACCAGGTAAATCCAGTTGATGAGTTACAGATAGGTGGAAACGCACATCATGGATACCACTGCTAACGACTACCAGTGTACAAGTGAGTCGGTGACACAGCGGTTAGAACGCTCGCCAACCATGAACATGGCCTGGGGTTCGATCACCGGCCACCGACATACTGCTTTACCTCGCTAAGGCAGTAATAAAAAAAGCTGGTAAAGAGGAAAGGTCAGGCATGAGGCTAACAACCCCATCCTGTAAAAATAAACACTGCTATAGAAACTTCAAGCTAGAGGCTTGAAGCCCTATGTTCCACTGGGAATGTGAAGGAATGAGAAAAAAACAGTACAGAGCTAATTAATACGATTTTAGAAATGATGTTATCTGGTTAATGGTAGTTAGTCGTGGAATCCAACATGGGTATTTCTTCCCGTTTCGTGCTTGTCATCATCTCAATGGATGCGATTGTATTCCCATTCAGTAGACCCGAATCCAGCACACCTGATTGTTTGAATTCCCCGAAGCACTATCCACTAGGCCATGAGAAACTACCCATTTTGCATTGGAGTATTACTTTAAGTTATTTTGTATTTCTTGTAAATTGAATTCCTTACTAGACCTAAGTATTCAGTCTCTGTTGATGACACATGGGTAACCCGTGTTTTGGTGTTTGAACAGGTGATAGACGGATGTATTTTGACCAAGTGGCTGAGTGTCCACGAGGTGACTTCATAACCTGATAAGTCCTGGGTTCGATCCCTGGTGTGGAGGGTCATAGGTGTGCGCTGTCGAAGAGTTCCAAACTAGGATGAAAAAGCTGTACTTTCCTTCTCAGGTTTTCAATGATTCAAGTGTTGGTTTGTAGGGATTTGATTGATTGGTTTCAGGATTCCATCATGAGCTGACACTGATTAGAGAACGATTGGGAAACCAACTGGGAGTACTGGATAGCTGTTTCATCTACTTTGGACTCTTCATAAGTACGCATCCACTGGGATTTGAACCCAGTACCTTCTGGTTACAAGGCGAGCTCGTAGACCATTTAGTCACTGGGACCCGATCCAATGGCCAACCCATGAGTTCTAACTTCTGCGAATCACGACATAGCGCGACCGCTAGCCAATGTCTTTGGCGAGTATTTGTCCTCACACCTGACCTGCTACACCCTACTGGTCACGACTGCTCAGCAGAACCCCAGGGAAAGCCGCCAGTGAGCAACTCATCGATATCCATGGGTTGATTTGTATGGATTTGATTGGTTGGTTACAGGATTTCATCATGAGCTCACATTGTTTAGAAAACCTTTGGAAAACCTGGGAGTATTGGACAATGGTTCTCTGACCAGTGTCTCAATTTATGACGAAATCTACACCGAAATTAATCCAAATTCTCAGAAAATCCATCATCAGAATTCATTTGATTCGTTTCTGACATTTTACCCCTACTTTTAGTAACACGTTAGTAACGGTAGTGTTGTGTATGTGCCACTTATAACAATAAATATAAGTAGTATACGTCAAAGCTGCAGCGTGGCAGTAGTGGTAATACTTGTTTTTTGTTAGTAATTATTCCATTGTTTCTATATAGTAGACAGGTAGTTAGGAAGACTAGAATTATCAGTTAAATGTTTATAAAATTCCAAAACCTCAAGTTTTAAGTCCTCAGGGAAATGGTCAACTAATTGGCCCAGTAATTTATAAGGATAATTGGTTTCTGTTACATATTGGTGTTATTATCTGTTATAGAACTGTTTGTTTATTTACTCAATAAACTCTTTTTCCTAAATATTTTGTTCCTACTATTTATGTGCCTACAGATTCTGAAAGATTCTCACCTGGAAATCCACAAGCTGCTCGATCTCAGGCTGTATTGGCTGCTGCATATGCTGATCGTGAATTCCTTTCTTCGAATAACAATAATTCAACATTGAATAAAAGTAAATCTTCATCATCAGTATGTACAAGTCTACCGTCAAGTAGACATAGCAACAACACTAGTGTACACAATTACAGTATGCCTAATAATAGTAGTAGTAATTCGTCATCAGTAGGACATCCAATACAACGGATGTCTAATTTCACCTCAATGGCTCATTCTACTGGATCAGTAGAACCAGTGTACAATAATTCTAAATCGAATCCAGTTAACTTCCATCACCATAATCATCCTCCTCCTCATCAACATCAACATCCACCTTCTTCTTCCTCTACTACAAATTCATCTATACGTTCATCCTCAGAATCGATGATGACTGATAGAAATTTCAATTCATATCCTTTAAAACTTGTAAGTTTGTCTAAATTGATCATACGTGTTTTTTTTTTACTTTTTTTCTTTCTTTTTTCTAACAATGTGAATGACAAGTTTGCACACGTTAGGGTTTTTGTCGGCGTATTGTCTCTTGGCTTATCCAACTTACTACATGTGTATTTGTCTGAATTGAGCTAGCTAGCTGGAGCAGATTTCGCATCTGTGGATCAGTTTATGAACCACAATTATCGTGTGAAGGTTGTTGATACCGCCTAGTTGACGAGGTCGCGAAGTGAGTGGAGTAGGATTCGAATCTAGGACCTATTATTTTGTCGCTTTTTGTTGTTGTCAAAAGACAAACTTGAGCGCCAAGAGATGCACCACGCATAATCTCATGGATTGAAGTACTGTCCGGATGTTGTGATTGAAGCAGGTGGTTGTCTTGAGGGGTCACTACCGTAGCCTCTGACTTGAAGTCTGACCTACAAGGAAGTGGAACAGCATCAGGAGTTACATTTCCAGGTTTCCCAGTGATAGACAGATTTATACGCCCATGTACACCACAGATTTGTAATCACAATTTTCTAGCTCCTTAGGCAGACCTGTGTTTCCACCAGTCCGGTTCTAAGTACCACAAGTTCACATTCGCGCTTTTGCTTTTGTGAGGAACACCCGCAGCCATCGCGTGAAGTCAGTGAGTAGGATTTATCTAGCAGAAATTGGCTATGAACGCGTGGCCACATGAGAGCATTTTGAGAGGAGGATCAAAGTCTACCCATCCTTGGTCGTACTAGGTCGTTTATGGAAGTTGTAGTCGATTTGTTGCGGGTCGTGTGGTCAAGAGAGTTAGCCACGTCACTACATACAAATGCGGCTGTTTGTGTGTATCTCTTGAAAGGAATCGTTTGTGCGCGTCAACGGGAAATTCAATTATACTTTGTACTTATGCTCTTGTACAGAAAGAATACTTCTTAATACTTTTTAAAAGTCAATCAGTTGGAGAAAATCTTCAATTTTTCTTACCTGTGTATTTTCTGTATTGGGCATGGTGGGGATCATCTTTCAATACATACTACAAATGTCATCACAGTGGCTTCTTTACCGGTCATTGTTCTCCAGCCGTAGGACTGGGTGTAAAAGCGGAAAGGTTAGTCAACCGTGGCGTTTTATGGGTGAAGGTGGTCATAGTGTGAAAGATAAATGTGTTGCGTTTGTGTGTGTCGCTTCATTACGACTCCCTGTATGAAATCTGTGAAGGATATTCCGAATAAGTTGGTTAAGACGTTATTAAGTTTAGCTCAGAATTGAAACCAGTGGAGACCATACTTCAATTTCCTACTTTCCTGTCTCTTGCTTTGGAAGTAACCTGAAGTAATGAATGCTCCCTATAAATAATCTTGATAAGTTTACTCGCCTGTTCTTTGATCATTGTACTTCTTTTCTGTATATTTTTATTTATTATTATTGCATGGTGCATCTCTCGGTGCCCATATTGTTCCAAGTCTATGTTGAAATAAATATAGAATAAAATCTACATTAATTACTTTTTTTCCAGCCTAATGGTGATCCATACAACGCCTCATTAACATCTCTTTCACAGGATGATCGTAATTTGATTGGAGTAAATAAATCGGAACACTTACCGCCACCACCACAGCCACCTGAATCCTCTGCTCATCGATCCAATTTACCACTTCCAATAATGCCACCATTTCCATCACCACATATACCTCCTGATTTTTTAAAACAATTTTTCAATACCGAATCATTTTTATTTCCTGGTTCCAAGATGAATTCCTCTTCAACGAATTCAACAAATATGACGTCGTCATCATCAGCATCATCCGTGTTATCACCGTCATCGTTACCATCATTATCATCATCATCATCATCCAGTCAACAGTTTCAATCCTCTTTATTACAGTCAATGTATTTCCCTACACGTGGAGGAGGAGGTAATCAACCCAATCGGACGGTGGATAAAATCAGTCATACTGGTCTACTTCATCGACCAATTCGTGGAGATAAGGTAATAATTAATTTATTTTACATGTTATATTACTGTGTCGGGGGTTCAATAATAGAATGTTCTCCAGCCATGTATGTGGTCTGAGTTCGACCCTTGACTAAAACACTCCTAGACCTTAATTAACTGGTAGTAAGATCTGGGAAGAGGGACGATGAATTGGGAAGCTGATAGGTCGAACCAGTAGGAACAACACTATAGTTACTGAAGCTTCAAAGCTCAGGCTCCACTCGGAGCACAAAAAAAAATAAAGATGGAAGAATACATGTATCACATACGAAGATTCCTCTACCTTTGGTGGCACATACTACTGATAAATATGATGGTGTAATTCTCCATCATTGTCACTATAACTGTTACTCAATAATGTGGTCGACTCAGCCTGGAGCTCCTGGGTTCAGTTCCTGGCAGTGCTCTGCTGAAGTGTTGTAAGATGGGACGAAACCGTTGCTTTGTAATTAATTCTTGGTCTTCAGTGATTATCTAAGTGATATCGCTTTGTGATGAAATCTCATTTAGAATCATTGAAATTTATCAAGGGGACCGATGCTCATATCTATGTGAAAAAGAGAAGACGTTCAGCGAAGAGAGGCTCTTTTCGGCGAATTCATTCACATAGCTGTACAATCGCATTTATATATAATTATTTGTGTGTGTGTGTATGTGTGTGTACATGAGGTTTGTCAAGTTTACATAATTGATCAGGTAATAAAAGAATGATCTAATATAGAAACAAGGTTAATCAGACAGCAACTAAAGTAGGATTGAGTTAGTAAGGTAGGGGACGTAGTATAATTGACTAAAATGTTTCAACTTAGGTCAGGGTAGCAACAGAGGTAATTACAGGCAGAGACTAAGTAAAAGTGGGGTAGAGAATAATGCCATTTAAATTAGAACTGAAATTGAGCAAATAAGTTGGATGACGTAACATACATGACTAGAAATTGAGCGTTGGTCAAGTCAGTAACAGTGGTAGTGAGGTGTAGAAATTAAGTCGAGTGGGGGGTGGAAAACAAGAAAGTTGAAAATGTAAAATATTACAATTGAGAAGACAAAATAATACTAATGAAGAGACAGAAGAGAAAAGGATTAGGTGGAATTTACCTGTCGGATAATGAGATAGATTACGTCCATTGTAAGTGTAGTGATTGAACGAACTTCTTCTGTATGCAGCGTTCGGGACTTAGCAAGTGAATCGCCATTGCTTCTTATATCTATATGAAGATATTGTATTTCTGTGTATCACATAATCCTGATGCCTTTAGAATTTTCATTGTTCTGATATCTAGTATGTTACATATTTGATATATAGTTTTGACAGTGTGTGTGTGTAGTTCTTGTTGAGTTTCTTTTTGAATACTTCAAATGTTTCGCCAATTATGCGTTATGTGTGTGATTTTCTGTCTCATTTTTAGCCATATGGTCGATGGGCTGATGCGCACATACGTATCGCTTTGTTCATTCAATATTGCGAATCTATGCAGAGACCACAGCCGTCCTCATCGATTCCATCAATGTTTCCAACGTGTCGATTACCGATTCGTCCAATTGCTAGACGTTTAAATCCTGGTGTACATTCCTCTGTATCATCGTCAATAAGTGGACAGGCTGTGCAGTGTAATCCAACTAGATTACAACAGCACAGTGAATCTGGAATTAATCGATCAGTCAATATGCCACCTCCGCCTATTCCCGCTCCAGTTTCCCAGCCTCCTCGATCGGCAAACAATAACGACAACAGTATTCCTCCAGATGCATCATTATTTTGGCGACATTTATTCAATGAATTCATGAATAGTTTATCTAAAGAATTTGCTAACAATATCCCAGATTGTAAGGATACACAAATGGCAATGTTACAGAATTTCTTTTCTCACATGTCCCAGTTCACTTCAGCACTAGGCGGTTCATCTTCTTCGTCTTCTAATTCCACTTCAAAATTACCTTTCAGCACTTCAACAGTAACACCGTCATTATCGTCGTCTTTAGCGACTTGTTCACCGGTTACAATTGGGTCAAGTATTGGAAATTACAATTTCCCTTTAATGACTCAATCATCCAATCTACTTCGTACTTCACCTTCTACGTCTTTGTCTTCTTCTACCAGTGGTGTTCGACCGTCGTTACCGCCTTCAGGAGGAGGAGGAGGAGGAGGGGGAGTTTCTGCTCCTGTAAACTTCAATTTACCATCAGGCCTTTTAAATCCCGAAATAAAACGTAGACGAACTGATTCTTTTGGCATGGATACTACTAATCATCCTGGTATGCCGCCTTTTCCTCCTCCTCCTCCAATGCGTATGCCTCCATTTCCGAGGCCATCAAATCCTTCTGTGCCTGGTGTATTGCCTCACCCATCCTCCTCCTCCTCCTGCTCCTCATCACCATCAAGATCGTCATCAATATCCTCGTCATCAACATCATCAATCTCATACACATCAACAACATCATCATCATAATCAGCATCAACAACAACAACAATTGCCAGTTCATGGTGCTCCTCCGCCTTCTCATCCATTTCCAAGTCATTCAGATGTGATAAACAATGCAACAGCTAATTTCCTGAATGGTTTCCGTCTACCTGATACACTTTTAAACAGACTACCGCCGCCACAACCACAACCATCACTACTGCATCCTCAACACAACACCGGATCTTCTTCTTCTCTTTCTAACAGTAATCCAACTATGAATAATGAATCTTTTCCTTCAAGTGATAAAAATTCTAGATCATCATCAAATACCACAAATACTGCATCTCATTTAGTTCCTATCAATCCATGGTAATTGATTGTATGAGGAGTTATGTTTTTCTTTCTAATTACTCCTTCTAATGCAACTTGTTCAGTTGTCTTTTCCGTTGTTGTTGTTGTCGTTGATGGTGTTGTTGTCGCTGTTATTATTATTATTACTAGCGGCACTAGGATATGTGTGTTGTGGTGGGAGTGAATGGTTGGGTAGAGAGGGTGGCGGTATTATTATTATTATTATTTTGATCATGCCATTTGCTTTACTGCCTTTTAATTCGAAATATTTTCATATTCCAATGTTTGTCTGTGTGTCTCTATGTGTGTGTGTTAGAGTTTCTTTCCTTCATCACTTTTGTATTTAAGCATTGAATTTACACAGTTGACTGATATGTGCTGCATATGATAATAATATGCAGTCAGTACGTACGTTCATACAACATACACTTGTTCAGTTTGTTTTCCTCTCTTTCTCCTTTCTACAATTCTGTTATCAGCCATTGTTTCATTATGTTCATATCAGGGATTACAGAGTACAGTACAGTTGAGAAAATACTGATAATAAATGATTCTGTTAATTAATGATAATTGGCCTCTATTTCTTCTGCCTTTTGTCATGACGAACGATTTCACACTTTTTGAAGGAAAAAGAAGAAGTGAAAGCATGATGGGAGAGATGATTCTTTGTCGTTTGTCTTTTCCATCTTATTTTCTACTTTTTCCTGTTTGTACTCATCTTTCTTATTCATGTGTGTGTGTGTATGAGTGAGTGAGTGATTGGGGAAACTTCTTTCTCTCTCTCTCTCTCTCATGTAACTGGCTTGAATGAAGAGTCACTTGTCTTTGTTAAACCTTTTAAAAATCCTTTCTCTTCTATACTTCCATGCTTTTTTTCGGTTCTCATACATCAATGATGGTAAATGGACAGACTGTGGTAAGATAGACAGACAACTGGGAGGATACACAGAACGAACATTGAGAGAGAGAGAGAAAGAGAATGAGGTGGTCCTTGAGTAAGAGTAGACAGAGGAAGAGAGTGATATGTATATTTGTGTACTATATGCCTTCATAACTATAGATATATATACCATTCCCTACTTTACATTTCTTATTATTTTTTCTTGGTAGTGTGTGTGTGTGTGTTAGACTCAGTGTTATTTCACGTTTTGTTGTTATATCTTGTTATTTCTTCAAGGACAGCAACAAAAAGCGTCTTTGAATCGGATTGTTTTGTTTGTTTACCTTTGTATATTCTCCTTAGGAATCATAATAGCACTGATTAGTATTATTATTACTATTATTATTGTTATGAATCTTGGAAGTAATGTATCATTGTGCGTAGTAGTGATTGACAACATTATTACTATTTTTTATCACACCATTTTTAACTATTGTTATGGTCATTTTGTTCCTTTTCTATATATATAGTAGTAGTAGTAGTAGTAGTAGTAGTAGTAGTAGCAGTTGCACTGTTCATTACTACTGCTGCTACTACTACTACCACGACGTTGACGATAACGATCATGCCGGTTACCGTCGATTTCCCCTCCCCTTCACTCCCCTCTACATCCCTCTAAATTGTACAAATAATGTTAGTGAACCCTGTACTACTACTACAACTACTATCACTCACCAATAGTCAGTACAGAATACAGTAAAAATGATGATATTCTTTGTTTTTTAATGACCGTTCTTTATGTCATCACCACTTCTTCTTCTTCTTCTTTATCCCCTCTATCCATCTATCTCTGTTTCTTTTCCTTAATCATAATCGTGATTATTATCATTATTATTGTTATCGGATGATAAAGTGGCGCCCGGAGATGATGGCGTTGTTGTTATTCTTGTTGCTGCCGCCATAGTCCTCCTCTTCTTCCGTTATATCCTTTGTATTTTTTACTTTTCTTTTTCAAAATATTTCTACTTATATATCCCCTGTACATATATGTGTGTGTGAACGAACGTACGTCCGCCTTTGTATGTGTGTGTATTTCTCTTTTCTGGTTTGTACAATAGATAAATAGATCATGGGGTTAGCGTGTGTGTGTGTGTTATCACGTCATTATCGATTAGTGTGATTTATGTTTTTGTTTATTTATTTTTCTCAGCTCTTGGTTTTATCACATTTGTAAACTTTTCTTCTTTATTGTCTGTTTCACTTGTTTGTTGGTTTGATTTTTCTCTCTTTTTTTCTTCTATTACTTATTCAACCAATTTGCACTGTAAAGTAATAGTAATATAGTATAGGTAGTATATTCCATAACGTGTGTATACAAGTTGCTACGTGTCTTTTTGTCCGTGTGTGTGTGTTGGTTTGTTTGTTGGATTACAGGAGTATATATATATATTTATACTGATAGTACATACACACACGCCTGCGAGCGAGCAAGCGGGTGAGTGTGTGCACACAAGTCTTCAATGGACGATAAAAACCATATACAGATGATACTCTTATTAACTTAAATGACTGACCATATGTAGAAACAGGTTTCAGTGTGTTATAAATATTGTAGAATATAAAAAAAACTGAAAAAAGTTGTTTTGTTTATTTGGTTTTCTGTTTGTTTTTGTTTATTCTGCTTCTTATTCTTATTCTTGACATTATTATCATGATATCATTTTGATTGTAAAAAATTATTATTAAATTTGGGTGGACGACACCCTACAACAACAAGAATAGTAATTACTACTGTTAATAATACTTAGTATAAAACAATAGTGTTTACTCCATATCGATTATACATGCATTCACGTACGCACAGGCCTACGCACGCACGCTTGCTCGCGCGCACGTACGCACGCACTCACAGATTAAAGTGTATGGTTGTATGTACAGTGAGTGATAGGTAGGTAGACAGATAAATAGATAGACGAGCAGATAGACAGACAGACAAGACACAGACTGATAACAGTAATAATCAGAAGAAGAAGTATTGTCAGTATCTTTCAACAGTGAATGATGTTTATTTTTGTTTTCTTTAGCCTTTTGTTTTTCTGTTTCCAAATTTATTAGTTTGACCCTGTGCACATATTCATTGCTCTTGTTCTTTCATTTTTCTTCTTCTTTTTCTTCTGTCTGTTCAAGTTTATTACAATAATAGTTGTTACTATTGCTGCTACATATTATTATTATTATTACTATTGTTATTATTATTATTTTATTATCACCATTGTTAGTAATATAATAATACAGTTATGAGAGAATAAAGGAGAGAATTAATGATAATAATGACAAATATGAAAAAAGTGTGTTTTTCTTCATTCATTGTCTGGGAGGATGTCTGTTATTTTGTTTTCCATCAAAACTGTGAGATATGCGTTGGTGGCACAGCGGTAGGATGCTCGTCAACCTTGTGGTCTCGATCTGCAGCAGACACGCTCTTCTTACCTCTCATAGCTGATTATAAGCCTGACAAAGAGGGAAGGTTAGGTGTGAGGCTAGTAACCCCACCACTACTACTAAAACTTCAAAGCTCCATCTTGAAGTACTATGTTTCACTGAGAACTCAAAGAAGTTGGAAAAAAATGCCCGCTGTGATCATAGGTGTTTGTATTCTATCTCCTGTTTTAAGCAGTACAATATACTCGGTAATATTTGGGTAAGGTGTATGGTATAAGATTAGGAAGGGTAGTCGATTGATTTCATTCTGAAACTGTACCGATAGAGGTAGCTAGGACACATGTTACGCATATCAAGCCATCGCTTCCCCTATCAAACAATGTTAGCTGACATAGTAATAATAATGGCCTTAGTCCAAATAGTACATTCGACTCATTGTGAATTTTTTTCAGTATATAATACAATATTGCAGCTAATTTACTCCTTACATTCACATAATACCAGAGTGGGGGTGGGGTGAGGGTAATAATTACCAGGGCATTTAAACTGATAATAGAGTCAATCAATTTATGAATGTAGAAAGAATAAAGAATGGTCATTTACATACTACTGTTTCACAGTAAGTCAGTAGTTTCACACGTAATACTTTTCTCACCACATAAAGTCTATGCTTAACTAGATATTGTAGAATTGTATTCCTACTTAAGCGCTGGAGCATAAAGTCTTTTATTTATCGCTTCTAGCACCATCTGATAAGATATAATGGGCGACTTATGTATAAAGAAAATATTCAGAGTCCTGCAAGATGATATTCTCCAATTTTTTGTATGCGTTTAATTGTCTATCTACAATAGTATTAATAATAGTAATAATTTTATTTCTTGAACAGACAAAAGCCACTTTTACAGACATGAATGTAAGTACACTACTCATAATTGATAACAAATATGAATTTTCAATACAAATGTAGATATTGACTATTGGTTTAGATGACGAAAATAAGTAATTTTTTGAAATTTGCTTAGAATGGAATAAGTTATCGGATAATGGGCTAAATAAAAAAAATTTAAGCCATAATATATCTATTGCATGTTAATTTTGACGTGGGGAATTACAAAAGTTCGCGTTATTAAAAGGTAAGAATCGGTTTGGGATACTGATGCTAAAGTGAAACATAGAGGCAGCAGAATTTGAAAATAATTATCAGCTACTTATAAGGGTATATAAAATTCTACAATCACTGGTATGTACAGCATTATTGTGATGTTGGCAGTTATATGGGACCAGTTTTAAAATAATCGACTGTTTTCGTGACAGAGGTTCTGTAGATCTTCATAAAGATGTGTTAATAATATTCTGAATATCTGCAAAGTATATATTGTAATGGTTTCAATTCTCCATTCGAATAATACTAATATAGAGGATAGCATCGGTATATCAATGCCGTGGTCTAGGGCGGTACTTCTGAAAAGGAAAGAAGATACCCCATTCGCCCTATCGACAGCTTTCAGTACTTTTCGCAGTGTAACAAAATTTTTCTTAAGTAGCCCAGTAAACATTAAGGTGTAGAGAGCAATAAAGAAGAATTTGGTAGAAAATACAATAGCTAACAAACTGTAAAAGTGGAGACTAAGTGATACCAGATTGTTTTAACTCCCTTACATGGAACTCCCTTAAATGGAACATCTTTCCAGAAATTACCATGATATGGGAAGACCAGGAGATTTCAGAGGAGAGATATAATTCAAAGTATTTAATATTCGAAGTAGTTTCAACTTCAGTGCCTTCTATGATACAAGAATCATTAAAAGGATTGGGTTGGTTGACAGTTAGAGGCGGTAAAATCCAAAAAAATGAAATCAGTTCATGAAGTCTTTGACTTTTGGTTCGTTCTACATACAGGGACGTGTAGACTGCCTGATTAGGATCCTCAGAATCCAAAGAAGCAGTGTTTAGAGATGTTTTTGGCGATAAAATTATAAGTTGTTGTATTTTGATTTGACACTAGTAACTGGTGTGATGTGTCTAGTCCTCTATTTGGTGCAGACTGAATTCTGTCAGTCAAGTTGTAATGTGACCACCATTCTAGGTAGCTCGCCATCACGGTTCACATTGATTTGATGATAGTATATGGTTGGAGGTAATCGGCAGGAAGCCTTGAACCTAAGTTTCGTGCAAGTTGGCACTCGTTAGCAAGGCGTATCTGCAACCTGATCGATAGAATTGAGTCTGTACCAAATAGAGGACTAGACATATCACACTAGTTACTAGTGTCAAATCAAAATATCCACTACAGTCCTACAGGAGGTAAATCGCGAGTCCGAATAGCTCAATGGTAAAGTCTCCGACTGCAGGCGGCACTGGGTGACGCGGGTTCGAATCTCAGAAGGGACATGAGTTCCTTCAAGGTTGCAGATACGCCTTGCTGATGAGTGCCAACTAGCACGAAACCCAGGTCCAAGGCTTCCTGCCGATTACCTCCAACCATCTACTATCATAAATTGTTGTCAATCATAAAGATGCATTCACTCGTAGATTTATTAAATCCTCATTATTTAACCATACACTTATTCAATCTTCCAACAGATTTCTTTTCATCATAGCTCGTCGGGATTTTTTGTCCTATCCTTCTGTGTGCTATGTGTGGGCGGAGTGTGTGATAACTTGAGCTTTCGCACTTTTTTGCAAAGTTCTACATTGAAAACTCAGTCAGTCAGCCAATTAGTGAATTTTGCGTGTTGAGAGAAAAGTTCTTTGTCAGTCATGATAATACCTTCTAATTTAAGCTTATAAATATCCTCAGCATAGATATTGTGAATTTCCTGGGATAATTTAAGCACTGAGTTATTATAAAATTATTGATATAAGTATAAAACTAGGACACTGTAGTAGAGTATAACTCCATTATAGGTAAGATTTTATTTTGATAAATCAAACAGGTTTGTACAGTAATATAACAACGTTTCGAGCACAAATTATTCCTCATAATCATATCAACTCACCCACACAACTTTTTGCTTCATTTATAAACATGAGTAAAATTGATTATATATAAGATAATGTACATTAGGAAATAAGATTAGTGTTATCAATCAAATACAATCAGATGGGGAATGAGATGTTTTTTATAGTCAAAATAAGTAACTTTTTAGGATGTTATAATGTAAATTGAATACATTTTAACATTATTTATTATCCTCCTCTGATTTGACTGGTGGTAATAATGTCTTCTATATCTTTGGTATCTGCGTTGAGTCATTTCTGTTGCATGTGTCGGGTGTAGACTCGATGAACAAGGATTCAGTAATCAACCTCTGTCTCTCTACGCCTACCTATATTACTCTATTGTGTGGTTGTGTGTTAATGCATGCAGTGCTATAGCTGAGCTTTTTTCTAAATTACTTATCTCCGTGGAATCAATCATTTTAACCTTAGCTAAATCCTTATCTCCTGATAATCTCACTACTCCTGATCTACTAGTTTAACCTATGTAGTTGACCTAACTCACAGTCATTGCAAGGTATTTTGTAAATTATATTATTTTATTTTGTTTAATTGGGTCCATCGGGTCCTTTAGCCTACACAATTTGTCTCTGTAGTATGTTTAGAAAATCTGAAATTAAACTTTTCTGAACTTTTCTCTATGTAAGTCACACGTTTTTCGGCAGAATTTAGTCGGATTTTATTAGATAGACATCAGATTATATGTAGTGAAAAAAGCGCGTAAGTTAAAGTCAAGTTGTCTGGAGGTCATGCGTTGTAGATAAATATTTGTACCGACTAAGTAAATGTGATTAGTCATCTCATATATATATATATATATATATATATATATATATATATATTTGTATCGATATTGTCAACTTGCCACTGTTAAGTCGTATATATGCATTTATTTTGATTTTATGGCAAAGAGAACAGGTGAATTCATGAGTGTGATATAATTGGAATCTCGTGAATTGGAAGTCGTGACCAGTAGGGTGCAGCAGGTCGGGTGTGCAGACGAATACTCGCCGAAGACATTGGCTAGGGGTCACGCTATGTCGTGAATTCGCAGAAGTTTGAAACCATGGGCAGGCAGGTCATTGAATCGGGTCACAGTGGCTTAATAGTATACGAGCTCGCCTTGTAACCAGAACGTGGTCCTGGGTTCGAATCCCGCACTGTGGGTGCGTACTGATGAAGAGTTTCAAACTAGGCTGACGAAACAATTGTCCAGTACTTCCCGGTTGGTTTTCCAATGGTTCTCTAACTGAAGTCAGCTCATGATGAAATCCTGTAAATAATTGAAATCATTGTTCAGAGGCTAAAAAATATAATTAACGAATTACGTTTACCTGTTTTGTCTACAATCAGAGTCTACCAGATGATACATCTGTTCATTCTCTCTTATGCATCGTATTTGGTGTAGTTATAATATAAGAGATTTCAGGGAGGGGGGAGTCAATCTTATTCACTTTGTACAATTATTAAACTACCAATGACTTCCAGGTACATCGGTGGCACAGCGGTAGAATACTCGCCAACCACGCATGTTGGTCGGGGTTGGATCCCCGGCAGACGCACTCGTTTACCTCGCTAAGCCTCGCATACAATGGTGGAGGAGTTAGTTAATAAGGACAAGAGGTGAGTAAGAGGATAAGTAACTAATAAAGTGAGAAATAAATTGGTGGGTCCTAGTCAAATCATAGAGGAACAAGAGACGTGCAAAGCTTCACTGTGTTAATGAGGAAAGGTTAAGGCCAAAGATTACGTAATCAAACAGAGA